AGCCTTATACCTCGTCAGATAACACGGCAAACTGTACACGCTCACGTGAGAAAGTAAAGAGGAACGCGAGAAATCCCATATTTCGGTTCCCACTGTGCGTCATACTGTGTACTTACTTATTTACTTACCTTACGTATGTATAGCCGAAACCCACCACCCATACACGGGCGGCGTGTATGTATATATACGATTGAACGGAGCCCGATCGTTTTAAATGCCGTGGCACACGGGAGAGCGGGACTTTAGCTCTATATGTTACATGCACACACACGTGTATATATGTACGTAGAGGCTTTTTCCATGGGAATCTCGGCACGGGTTGTACGTTACGTGTGTGCCGTCACAGGTGAAGTCGGCCCCGTTCGGGGAGAGAGAGGCCCGGGCCTTAATTAACGTCCGACGGCATGTCGTATGTACGGAGTGTATGACGACGGGGCTATGGGAAATCCGAGCGAGGAGGCACCTGCCGAAACCGCGTGGAACGGAGCGCCGGACTTTTCGAGATCCCCCCTCGCGTCGAATTTTTTCGCGCGTGTGTGATTATCGTGTCCAATGCTCACCTCGATTACTGACAGCTGCTCTACCATTTTATATTGTTATAAAAAAAAGAAAAAACAAAAAACAAAAAATTTTGAAACCCTGAGGATATTAAATTGATAATTTCTCCCTGTTTAATCAGGTATATAATACACCATACCAAACGTCAACCATATATCAAACAAACGTTTCGAGGGTCTCTGGGGTATATTCGTCATCCAACAGCGTAAATATATATATATATGCATCCACCTGCCACTTCGCCAATGACATACTTTGCTTCGAAAATCCCGGTGTCCCTATAGCATCGCACTCCGCAGCTGCGTTCGGCCTGTACGTAATTTCCATACATACACGTCCAAGTGGTTACTCGCGAATCCTCGGACGACCCTCGGTCATCGCGTCGCGCACGCAAAACACGACATATGCCACCGTAAGCGCGACTATACGACGACGACATTATTTAGCGCTGAGGTTGTGGGAACTTGGACCTTCGCCTCCCGTAAATACAGTCATTATACGCCCAGTTGGTGTGGCAAAGACGTGTATCTCTATACACGTACGAAAATTACAAGCTAAACTCGCGTCTCTTCTGTCGTTGAATGTACGCTCGCCATACCGCAATATACTCGCGGTCACAATTGTATGTACACACGCCCGTGTACTCGTTTGTAAATGAATTCCCTGTATGTATATACCTCGCAATATTATATTATATGCTGATTGAGGACACTTGCGATGCATAAAATATATTGTACGTATACATACAAATAGGCTGTTGCCCTTTTATTACCTTATTTGTGCCCTCACGTCCGCTTTGCCGGTCGGATCTTCTTGATTACTGTATTTACTCCTCTCCCCCCCCTCCTCCTCCTACTTTTTTCGGGACTTGCACAGTGTGACCTCGTTTCCCCGCATCTTGATTATTATAATTTCATGGATTATTTTATTTTTGACAAAAAAAAAAAAAAAAAAAAAAAATTTTTTGTTACCCGGGGGAAAAAAAAAAAAAAAAAAAAAAAAACAATTTTTGATGATCCACATCATGCTCTGCACGTTAATTTAAAACTTTTCTGTCTGTACACTGCCAATGCTACCAAAAAGTTCTCTACAGTCCGCAACGAACTGTGCGCCATTAGTTTCCAATCGATCGTCTCCACCTAATTTACGATATCGAAAGGTGATGCGAGGTGAGACAGGGTGACTTGAATTTCCTCGAGTTACGGCGACGCGAGTGTCATACACAGCACGCGTTTGTACATGTAAAGCGGAAAACCATTACTCAAAAAAAAAAAAAAAAAAAAAGAAACCACCACCCACGCTCGCGAGGGTGAGATTGGCCTGTCACCACTGACAAATGGTCGCGTAAGTCGTTACTTACCACAGCGCCTCTGCCACGCACCTCTACATATCCACCTTTTTTTTTTTTATTTTGCGAGCACATTTCATATTTTAGGCTCTTCGTGTATCAAACCCGCGAGAAAAATCGACCCCCTTCCCGTAGGCGCGAGCGAACGATTAGTCATAGAGTCGATCGGTCTCCTCTGCTCGAGAAAATTAAACGCGGGGATGATTTTGCAAAGACGGAAAGGCCCTCGATTACTGATTGGCGCGCGGTGATGTGCACTTCCACGTAGATATATATATATATACCTTAACCGATGCCCGTCCGAGGGGACAAATGATGAATATCGGCTCCCGTTTCGACACCGCGTCATCGTTACTATTGATTATCTTGGACTAAACGTATAACGATACGCGCACGCCGAGTTATCAGTGTAAAAATCGGAAACTCACAAGCTCGACTGTTTCCGTTGGAATAAAAAGAAAAAAAAAAAAAAAAAAGGGTCCCATGCACCCTTAAATAGCTATACCCTATGGATCGCCTGCATGATCTTCCCACGTACCTATACGAGCTAATCGCAAGCGACGGTCCCATAACTCGGAAGAGGGCCAATAATGAGCTGAAACTAGCAACACGTTCACTCTCAGGTACACGTACATAAATTGTACACGTGGACTAGATACCTACCGAAAAATCAGAGGGGCCTCACAATATAATATGCGAACACCCCGTGCACACAACGGAGGGGGTGAGGGTGGGAGGGGGGGACGAGAAAAAGGGGCCCCCTCGCTGCATGTGGGAACACGGGGAGGCGAGGGTGTCCGTGACCGTATGTATACCCACATAGGGCACATCACGCAAAAGGTCTTTGGGGAGGGTGGAAATCACAGGCGACTACCGGCCGCATTAGGCATTCATGCGTGCTAGCTACACATATATACATACAGTATGGGAATGCGCCCCCTCTACCAACACTCGTCGCTCTAATTCGAGGGGTTGGCCGTGCGTTGTACTCGATGGTTGCAGGACTCTCCCTAGCGCAATCGTATATCTACAACGTCGGTATGTGTGATTTTATTTCATTTTTTTTTCGCCGACGACACCCGTATATAATATACCCACGTACACCCAATCCTGTAACACTCGATGACGAGGAGGTCATGGGGTGCGCCGAGATTTTCAATTGCATCGCGTGTGGCTTGGACTTTTTTTTTTCGTAGGCGTCCGTGTGTGCGTTTTTGTGGGGTTACGGTGTGCTATTTTCCCGGAAGATTTTCCACACATAGGAGTCCATTCAGCTATACCTGCCTACGTTTGTAACGTGACTCTGTAAAAGCTCTTTAATTGATCGCTGAAATTTTCGCAACCGTGTGGGGATGTAGTTTTAGCTCGTGTGCACCCGGAGTCAATTTCACGCAAACTATCGATGATTTTCCGAATCCATTTGAAGTGAATTTCAAAGCGTACAAAAATAACCAAATTCCGTCTGATCTGTTTGCGAAACTTCAATCGTGTAAATCAATGGCCATGAAGCAAAAATCAAATACCCCGACAAATCCCCATGGCACCGCCCCCCTCGTTCGGAGCCTCATCAAATTACAGCACCATCGACTCTCTCGACCGCAAACTATGCCGCCCTCGCACTCGTCGTCCAAAGCCACCCCTTTTTTCAGCCACGACACACACACACGAGCCCCCTGAACCTGACTTTCTCACGCAACCCCGTTGCCCATTGCGGGCGAGCGATATCGTCAAGGCCAATCACGCGACACGCAAAGACTCTGTACGCGTACCTGCCCTGTACTCGTGTTTACAATGTTACACGGACTCTATATATATATGTCTATGCTTACCTGTACGACTGACAAATAATCGCTTGTCACGCTTTATTTCTTCATTGTCTCGTTCAATTATATCGAGATTCGGCATCTCTTCACGGCTCGCGAGTTTTGAGGCCGTTTTTTCGGAGACGCGCCCATTCAATTTGTCCCGTGGGTATTATACACGCGACAAACGAATCGCCACCGTAGATCTTCAGAGGGTCAGCTGAGGGTTGTTATGTGGTAGTTTTGTCATTGTACCTCCCTCTCGTATTTCTCTATGCTGATTATCAGTGATTTTAGCCATTGTTTGCATTATCTGAGGGTGAGTTCTTTTTTTTTTTCCCCGAAACGTGTCCTTTTGTACAAGAGTTTCGACCGTTACTCTAATTTTTTTCTTACAACTAACGGACGTATACACGATGCACGAATCACGGTTTTTAATTATCAGTATATTTCATCATCAGTTTGTAGCTGGTATACGAGAATTAATAAATCTTATAACATAATATACTAGATATCTATGTCATTTGTTGTATGAAGCAACCAACAGTATGTATATTTGTAAACTACGTTGCACAACTGTACGGCATAATGCGGGTACGGTAATTAAGTCATCGATCGTCGATACGTGCACAATCGATTCAGGGCTTCAGGGGACTGCCAATAATACGTAATAAACAACAGCATTCCCTGGTAAAACAAACACGCGCAAACTGTCGCGTCGCCGATGTACCTATACCCCGTAATACACCGTGTGTGGGTACAAAGGGAGGGAGGCCACATCACCACCTACGAGTATGGATAATTCACGCGTACCTGATGTCACGACAAAAGGCCAGCAGCAGAGAGCCGATAGATCGATCGGCTGCCCGTGTACACGTTATTGCGTTGGATACGAGAGCGCGTCGAGTGGCTTCTCTCACATCAGATATACCCGTCGTTCTACGCGTATGCCCCGACGTGCCCTTTCCCGCCAGCTGTGATTATCGGTCCCCCGGATTTTCATTTTTATCCGTTTGTCGGTCGAGTCGTCGAGGAGGCGATGACGAAGGACGCGTCAGGTTGACATCGCGACGGATACGCGCGCGCTAATTGGCCGATAATGAGGTGCTATGGCCCATTGTTGGAGGAGGGACGTTAATATTTTAAGCCATCGATTCGCTTCTCGATATGGTGCCCCCGCCACACGCGTAAAGCTCATTGCTGAAATATTCATAGATGCCCCCTCCCGTGAAGAAACAAAGGTTTGATCGACTCTAATTTGTTCCCTTTTTTTTTCTTTCCGTCTGTTTCAGGCCGGAGAGCGATAGGAAAATGTTGAACCCCGAAACGAGCTGCTACTCCGAGTCCATACGATCGTGGTAAGTTTTGTATTTTATTTTACGTAACTCAATTTGCACGTTTATGCCTTTGACCGATTAAACATACCATGACTGCACATTCCATCCGTGAACTGTACTAAACTGCGTTTAATTAAGCGACCCCGACATTCCTGACCTCGTGATTACATGTACCCGCGCGCCGGATAACTCGACCAAGGACGTGTTGGACGTGCGTCTGCTGCAAACTCGGGCGACGAAAACAAAACAAAAAAAAAAAGTATGCGAGAGGATTGCAAAAAATCAGACGAGGGTGTACTGGGGTGTCGCGAAAAGTGCACCCGGTGAGTTCATTAGTTTAACAGGTCCTCGTTAGTTTGCCACTCGTCACGTCGTTCTCGGTGCGTCAAAGTCGTTGATACGCACCAGGTAAGTACGTCGTGCACACACGTGTGACGTGCGTCGAGGGGGTTTTACCATTTTTTTTTTTTTCCTCTGTTTATATTTTTGTCAAAGCTAGGTGGTAAAGTTCTAGTATGACGAGGTGTGATACGTCAGAAGTGGGTGCGTGAGGTACTCGAAACTTTTGATTTTACCTGTTAGTGATGTTCACCTCAATTGGCTCGTGGAATTTTCAATTTTCATTTGGTGTTTTATTTCTTTCGTTTAAAACACGTGTCACGTACACGTTTGAACTCGCCACGGACCAAAGAAAAAAGAGCTTTCGTCGCCTTTGACACACATCCACAATTGTTGGGTCTCAGAAAGTGAGGGAAAGTGGAAGGCGCGGGTGCCGGAGAAGAATGAAAAAATGAAGAGAATGAAAGAGGGGCCACTTGATTTCTTCCTCCTTCGGGCGTAGAACAACCACTTAAAAAAAAAAAAAAAAAAAAAAAAAAAAAAAAAAAAAAAAAAACAATTTTTGATATTGATGTTATTTTTTATTTTTTTTTTTTATTACAGTGGCTAAAAACGGGTGANAAAAAAAAAAAAAAAAAAAAAAAAAAAAAAAAAAAAAAAAAAAAAAAAAAAATATCGCATTGTCATTTGAAGGGTCGCGAATAGCGCATGCACGTGCATGTATGTACTCACGGAGTAGAACTCGAGGGCTGTCTTTCTTTGTCGCCCGCCACCACCCGCGTTTGTCCGAGCATGTTTCGCGCATCCCGCGGTATAACTTGCCATCACACGTGTGTTGGTACTCTCTCTCTCTCTCTCTCTTTTTGTTGTTACTCGGATTGAGAGGAGCTGGAGGACTACTGTGATGTACCTACATGTATATACGATAAGTAAGAGCTGCTGGCTTTCATCTGTTCCCTCTGCCAGAGTGACCCTGGCACTCTGTTGGCGCCCTACCGCTCTAGTAGCCTATCTCTTTTTTTTTTTTTTTGTTCTCAAGCTTTTGCATGGTATTTTTAGGTAACCTGTAGTACCTCTTGTTTATTAGGCCCACCACACGTAGCAAACACTCTCTTGGTCCCACCGGTAAATTTTTATAAATATATATTTTTATTTTTTATTTTTTTTTATTTTTGGAGACAAAAGTTAAAGCCAAAAATGGTAGTTCAACCATCACACATTACACGTATGGTCTCCACGTGCTTATAAGCGCGTGCACTCAAAACACTTTCACCCATTGTCGTTCCATTATTACGCGCACTCATTTTCCTCTCGCCATTTTCTTCGCACACCTTCAAATAGCCTCCCCTCGCCTTCTTCCAGTGTAGAAAAGAGTACGGTACGGAGGTGAGACCAAAAAAAAAAAAAAAAAAACCAACCCGTCCCCGTTGCGCTCCCCCAGTGTTTTTCTCCTGCTCCTCGTTTTTCCTCTCATTTAGCATCTTACTCCCTACCACGCTTACACGCCCGCCGGGTAATTTATTGCCGTTCCTTCGCTCCTCTCTCTTTTTCTTATACGACCCGCCCTACACACACATGCATAGTGCTTCTGTGGCGCGCTGCGATTTTATAACCCCTTCGCAGCGGGAATCGGAGGGAGTCACTTTTTTACGCCTCGCGCCGACGCTTCGCCGAGACTCCCACTTGCGCGCGTGGGCTTTCCTTCCTCGTGCGTTTATGTGCTCGCTCGCTTTCTGTTGTCGTTTGGTTGCTCTCCAAAAAGGGTTTCGTGCCTGTTGGGATGGAAAAACGCGTGATGCTGGAGCGCTTTGATCATTGACTTTTCCTTTTTTTTCCTGCGGAAACAGTCTTTTGGGAATAATTGTTTGACTCGTGGAAAAATAAAGAGAAAATCATCGTTAATCATCGAGGGGTGTCGGGCTCGATTAGTTCGACAAGAATAACACCAATGTACAGGTTGCTTTTCCGTTGATTTCGAGTATAGAAAATTGAATAAAATGGGGGAAAAAAAGCAACCTGTCTATACATCCATCATCGAGCAACCTGCTAACACATAGAGAGGGTCCATTAGCGCGACTGTAGTTTTTTTTTCTCTTTTCAATCGATACGAGTTCCGTCATAGCTCTCGTGCCTCCTTGTGTCTCCCGGCACACACGCGAGTGACCCCTGCACGAAGATCAAGATAATCTTAGCCCCGAGGGGTGATAATTTTTTTTTTTTTTTTTTTTTTGGGAAATCAGCAAAAGACGAATGATCCTTTCCCGGTGCGATTACGGCTCTTATCAGATGTCACTTTTGGCGATGACGAGCGTCTCCCTCGTTTGTCATACGCACGCGTGACGAGGTTCCTGCTGCAGTGAAGGAACACATGATTTACTTCCTGCTTTCCCTCTCTTTCTTTGCTAAGCTCCGGGAGATCATATTTTTTGGATCTCCAAGGTTTTGGTAAAGGTGAGCTCGCCTAATACGGAGTACTTTTAATTCTTTTCTTTTCTTTTCTTTATTCTACAGTTACTCATTGAGTACTGTTGATTCATGCAGTACATTTATCGTATTCGTACATAATTATATTGTACATTTAATATGAAGAGATACATCAAGTCCGACAGTAGAAAAGCACAAAGAGTATAGTTTAACTTACATACTTCGGAGATTTGTTCGTCTTCGTGAGTCAGTAGCTCGGGCTTGTAAAGTTTCAAGTCCTAATGTCATTTTTATTTTCACGTGTATATGTAGTGATCATTTAGAGTAATTAAAGTTGTTGATAATATTTTTGTATATTTTAGAAAAAACAAATAATATCATCCCCCACTGTATTTTCCTTCTGCGTCAGAAGACCAGAAAAAAAAAACACAACATATGTCTTTGATGCTCTCGTCTATATTTACGTCGTAAAAAAGACTATCAGGGCGTTGTAGAAAGTTAGGATGACGCGGAAAAATATGGTTTTTCCCATCCTTGTAAGTGTTTTTTTCCGGAGATAGACACAGCCATTCTCATGTCCGACACGAAATGGATGGACCGCGTTTCCTCCTCCCAAACAGATACGACTATAATCTTCCGATTGTTTTTCTGAAAATATCACAACCTTCTATTCCATATGTAGGCCAATAGCTCCAGCAAACACGCTTTTATTGTCAAAGTCGCAGAAAATCTCTTATTCCTCCATTTTGACCCCAAAGCTTATTACTCCTTCCGGTTGGACTCACGCCTAACGATTTAGGTGAATGTATCTTCTGCTCGTCGAGTAGAGACAAAAACGCGCCGTGAAAGAGGGAAGGTCCTTAATTCTCTCTTTCGCGTAACGCTAATATCCATCGGTGTAAATGCCCACGGGACAGCGTCAAAGATGATGACGTAAGCTTTGAGAGAGAGAGAGGCGGTCTCTTTTCCTCTTCTTTTACGGGGAAAAATATAGAGAGGATGTATAATGACGAGGGACGAGTGAAAGGAAAATTACGGACGCTTGCTTTTCCACCCGCTCGGGGGCTCGAGTGCGTTTTGTGCGGCGGATCATAAGTTTTCCTCCCTTTTTCCTCTAGTGATGCGTATAAAAACTCGCGCGGGTCGTACAATTTTAACTAAAAAACAATCTATCGGAAAAACAACTGTAAATCATTATTGGTGATCAGTCCCGGGGAGAGACGTGTACTTGCTATATACATCATCAGAAGGAGGAAGAGCATAGGGTCGCTGGGAAATTCATCGAGTTACTTGACTGAGTTACTCACGCGTCGCTCGCTCCGTTCGCCGGGAGGAGGAAGGAAGTCGTTGTCCCTTCGCTGCTCTCTATCTTTGCCTTCACCCCCTACAACATCACCGATAATTTTCCTGAGCGCGCCTACGCTTCGGTAATTAATCGTTCACGGTGATTTCGCGCGATTGTAACGACGGCCATTCCCCTCCGATGTCTCCTCTGCCGTAACGATTAGCCGCAGTTTCGAGGAGAGCAGCTGCAGTGGCCGGGTGATCATCGGATGTCGATTAATGTCGTTGCTCTGCGCCCCTGTGTATATACGTATGTCCTCCTTCTTCCAGGGATGCACTGATTTATGTTTACTGCTTTTTTTTTTTTTTTTTTTTTTTTGGCAAAAATCCTTTGAACGGTAAATTTGTTTTCTAATCGCAGTACGATGTATCTACATTACGAGCTAATTATTTCTAGGGTTGGATATTTACTGCGTACGTAAAATCTCTGTCTTTTGCTTGGTAGGAAAGCCATTTATGTTCTTGTAAAGGCATGAATCGAGGGGACAAGAAAAAAATCGGGGTAACAAATTTCGTGCAGTTTTACAGACCTGCATTGAGATTTTTTCCAGGAAACAGAATCGATCGCGCCAGTGGACAATAGAAAGAAGAAGAAAAAAAAAAAAAAAAAAAAACCAGCATCCATCGGGAAAGCGGAGGGAAGCAACCCTTTTCTCGTTTTACAACGCAACGACTGCGCGCGTCCTCCGGTTCGGATATTTTCCCTTCTCTGAAAACTTTATTACGAGATTTTAATAGAACTCGATTTCGATTTTTTCCCTGTTTTTTTTAAAGGGCTAAGGGGAGGGACAATAGCGTGCGCGTTTGGAACCGAGGATTCGAAGGCACAGTGGAGGAAGGAGGTACATAAAAAACCATCCAGGGCACTACTGCACTCGATGGTTGAATAAATGACCTTGCTTTGGTTTTATTAT